AGAATACTGAGTTGCATCCCAAGAACACCATACCTACTGTGAAGCATGGGGGTGGAAACATCATGCTATGGGGCTGTTTTTCTGCCAAGGGGACAGGACGACTGATCCGTGTTAAGGACAGAATGAATGGGGCCATGTATCGTGAGATTTTGAGCCAAAACCTCCTTCCATCAGTGAGAACTTTGAAGATGAAACGAGGCTGGGTCTTCCAACATGACAATGATCCAAAACACACCGCCCGGGCAACAAAGGAGTGGCTCCGTAAGAAGCATTTGAAAGTCCTGGAGTGGCCTAGCCAGTCTCCAGACCTCAACCCCATAGAAAATCTGTGGCGGGAGTTGAAAGTCCGTGTTGCTCGGCGACAGCCCCAAAACATCACTGCTCTCGAGAAGATCTGCATGGAGGAATGGGCCAAAATACCAGCTACTGTGTGTGCAAACCTGGTAAAGACCTATAGTAAACGTTTGACCTCTGTTATTGCCAACAAAGGTTATGTTACAAAGTATTGAGTTGTATTTTTGTTATTGACCAAATACTTATTTTCCACCCTGATTTACGAATAAATTCTTTACAAATCCTACCATGTGGATTCATGGATTTTTTTTTCACATTCTGTCTCTCACAGTTGAAGTGTACCTCTGGTGCAAATTACTGACCTCTGTCATCATTTTAGTGGGGGAACTTGCACAATTGGTGGCTGACTAAATACTTTTTTGCCCCACTGTAATGCTTGGTTTCTTTGAGAAAGATAACACTTGAATTATGTAATTTTTCAGACTCTCAGTGAACTTAAAAACCACCAGAACTTACGAGATGTATCAATTCTGATTTAATCATTAACCACAGGACATATTAGCCAATCATCCTGACATGTAGGAATGAACACCACAACTATTACATGACCTCCTTTGAGCGAGCAGAAGTAAAAACGTCTTTTTAACCATGGAACAGAAGCTCCAAGCAGAACTGAGGGCGGGGTAGGGGAGGGTGGCTGGGCGCGGGTGGGGCAGTACGTCTGGTTGGGGTTGAGGGGAGGAACACAGGACAAATACATGCTGTGGGAGAGAGTCAGAGATTAATCCAGTCCCAATAAAGTTTAAGACCACCTGAGAAAACCTTTTTTTGAACATCAGTGATTCTTGAGATAAGGGACAAAACATGTCCGGCAGATAAAACCCAATTTTGTGGTTAAAAATATGCATACAAGTGTTACCCAACTGCCTAAAAGACAAACCAAGGCAATGTTCATACAACAAAACTACGATTTTGCATTTTTTATAAATATATATTTATTTTAAATGGTACAATACATTACCAGTACCTTAAAAATACATTGTCCAGAAGCAGGTGTGATAATATTAAAATACAGAAAAAAATTAAAAGTAATGTAAAATTAAACATCATGGCTCTCATCACTAAGTGTCATGGTGAAATGGAAGTAAAGGACTCAGGTGCGAGACTTCTTGCAGAGTGACAGTGAATTTATTCACAGTGAAAAGGTGAGTCAATAGTTCGAGTCTGTAATCCAGAAAGAGCAGTGCAGTAATTATCCAAAACCGCTCCTATGACTTCTCCCCTCAGTGACAGTGCTGTAATAATCCAAAACCGCTCCTCGACTTCTCCAATCTGTGACAGTGCTGTAATAATCCAAAACCGCTCCTTGTGCCGGCTCCTCCTCCGATCTCTGAATCCTGGGGGCAGATGAGAAAAACACACGCACTGTAACTCAACCGTTCTCTCTTTCACAAGCTGAGTATACTAGCCACGATTACGCTACCCAGTTTAGTTCAACGTTCCAGCGTTGGTTGTGACTCGACTGCACCGTTAAATAGGGCTGCTTCAGATCAGTTGTAGCCGGCGAAATAATTACGTACAGGTGCGACGCTTCCAGCTCCGGACCCTCCCCTCCGGTCAGCTGCCGTGCCGTGCCACGGCTTCCGGAGGTACATGTCTCCGCAGCAAAACACATGCACAAGATGGAGAGGAGAACATGAAGCAGTACACACAAACACCCCCAAAAAGTGGCAAGGTAATCGGTGAGGACCACCTAACCGTGACACTAAGTATTTAAGTCAATACCTTATATAATATCAAAATATGCAATTGAAATTTTATTTTTAAATATTTTTTAAGTGATTAAAATCGTGTCCAGAGTTTTTGTCAACACCGTCAGATTTTTTTAAAAGTACAAAAAAATCAGGAATTATTGTGGGCAGCTTACACTCTGAGGACCCCTTTACCACTTTTTTTTTTTTTTTTACTGGGGGAAAGAAGGGGAGAAAGAAAGAGGGAAAGAGAAACAGCTGAGAAGAGGGACGGGGGAGAAGGGCAAAAAACAAAAACCAACAGAATGGGCAGAAAAAAATGCATATATCAATCACCTGGATCACCTGCTGAGAAAGAAAAAAGAAAACAAGCAGAAGAGAACAAGAGTAATAGAATAAACAACATCACAATGATATATGGGAATATGACAGTAAATACTAAATATTAAACATTATTGTGCAGCACATAAGATCAACAGAACACAGTGTGCTTTGAGGTAGGAGCCAAAAAGGGTGTAGTTTGTGGGTGTGATCACCCGTGTGTACACCTGTGAGCATGGACGCGCTTGTTTTTTTTTTTTTAAAAGGTTCCTTCATGTAATGATCTGCTAGAGGGTGTGGGGGGGCCACAGCCCCGTCCTCCAGGGCATGAAGCAGGTATGGAGGAGATCAAAACTCCAGACATCCAGAGGCCCCCAGAACACAAGAGACCAAGGAAGACCAACAGAGGGGCAGCCGCGCCACTGTCCCAGAAAGAGCTGAGGAGAGTCCCAGATGAGGGCTCACTCAGCAGCCGCGGAGCAGAAGCCAGGGGGAGTTGCAGTGACGCGCCCGTGAGCTCCGCCGGCAGCCAGCCGTGCCTGAACTTCTACTACTTTGAAACTAATTTTTTAGATACCATCTTCAGAGTCGCTGGTCTCATATTTCAGTTTATTCGACTGGTGATGTGTATTTAAAATCTGCACGAACTGTTTAAAACTCTCTTCTCCACGTGCCCACACGCCTATAATATCTTCTAAGAAGTGGAGATAAAACATGGGTTGTAGTGCACACTTGGCCAACGCCCCCCTTTCCCACTTGCTTATGTAAATATTTCCCTACGGGGGTGCGCATCTCTGTCCATGGTCGTGCCTTCCAGCTGTAAGTAGCATTTATTGTCAAATTCAAAGTCATTGTTTTTTTGTTTATTTTTTTCCTGTCCCGTTTGGATCTTTAGCCATCAGAATTGTTGTCTGAAGGCCAAGAAAGATGCCAAGTGGATTTACTTTACCAAGTGGATCATCATGGCCTTGCCATATTGGTCCATTTGATTGACCTTTATTATAATTATGTATTTATTTTATTTTATTTTCGGTTGTTACAGACGGGACAGACATGACTGGGGGATAGGACAGGGAGAAAGAATGAAAGAAAGAGAGGGAGAGAAAGAAAACCAGAGGGGAGAAGAGACGGTGAGAAAGGGGGGAAAAAAAAAGAAAAACAAACAAAACACCTGGATCACCTGTATGGAGATAAGAAAAAACAGAAGAGAAAACAAACAAAAAAGAGCAACATAATAAAAATACAACACCATCACAATAAACTAGCTAGCAGTAGATAACAGTAGATACTAAATATTAAATGTATTGTGCAGCACGCAAGATAGACAGCGCACAATGTGCTTTGAGGCAGCAGCCGGGTGTAGTCGCTGTCTGTGAACACCCGTGTGTACACCTGTGTGCACACCTGTGTGGATCAGCATGCTTGTATTCAAAGGTTTCTCCATGTAACGATCTGCTAGGGAGTGTGGGGAGCCATAGCCCCGTCCCCAGGGCATGAAGCAGGTATGGAGGAGATCCAGGCCCCAGACATCCAGAGGCCCCAGAGTACGAGGACCCGAGGAGGACCACCAAAGGGGGGGAACCGTGCCACCCTCCTGGGAAGAGCTGAGTAGAGCCCCAAACGAGAGGTCACCCAGCAGCTACGGAGCAGAGGCCAGAGGGGGTTGCAGTGGCGTGCCGCGCTCTGCCGGCAGCCAGCTGTGCCAGAGAGGACCGAGCTTCAGGCCCAGAGGCCAGAGGCCTGAGGGCACCCCCCCCGGAAGGGGCCCAGCCGGGCCACAGGCGCCAGGCCCCGCCAATCGGCCACCAGGAGTAGCGAATACATGAGCACCCAACGACAACCACCACACCCGTCTGAGGGCATCAGCCACCGGCAGGGAGTGTGGTGAGGGGAGATAGGCCTCCGTACTTTAGAGGGCCTGAGATGTACCCAGAGAGGTTGAGTCTAAGACCCAACCTGACATATAGACCAACAGATGAAGAATTTCTGCGTTATCTGGGAGCTTGGTGACCGGATAACGCAGGAAGAAGTTTTCCACCCCATCAGTCCCATCTGTGTGTTGATGCTTGTTTAAAGACTGTGTATGTCAATTGTAAATAAAAACGCTTGGTTAGGCACAACCATGGGATGGATTACCTGCAAGAAGTGGTATGTATCTTTTAAATAACTTGGATGCCTGTGGTAGAGAGATCAATGTATTGTGATTATTGCAATCCGAAACTATTGGTCTCGTCCATGTATCAGGTCGATTGTGTATCTTAGGCAACAGATAGAATTGTCTCGACCTTGGATCGTCGGATCCTAATAAATAGTCCCGCTGTTTAGCTGAGTAATACTTTTTATGGAAAAGCTGTCTGACGATTTGTCTTATTTGAAGCTGTACCACAGTTTGGATAGAGCTAGGAATATTTTTATAGTATTTTTCATCTTCCACTTGTCTATTTGCTTCCAGCCTATACTGCTGCTTGTCCATTAGAACTATTTTGGACCCTTTGTCCGCCGGCTTGATTACTATCTGGCAGGGATAGCTCAGTAGGTAGAGTGGTGGCCCCATGATCGGAAGGTCGGGGGTTCGACTCCACTGAACGGCTACCCTGAGGTACCCCTGAGCAAGGTACCGTCCCTACACACTGCTCCCCGGGCGCTGCACTGGTGGCTGCCCACTGCTTCACTGGGTGAATGGGTTAAATGCAGAGGAACTATTTCCCTATGGGGACTAACACGCACACTTTACTTTACTGTCTGTTATTTTGTAATTCTCTGATAGCGCATCAAGTCCTGGATGGTATCATACAATGTATACCACTCAGGTTCCCAGACTGAGGGAAGGATGAGGGGCTCCCTGAAAAAATAATCTTCTTTAAAGTAGTTATGATTAGGGTTAGGATTAGGCATTCATTTTTGATCGTTAGAGTTAGAGTAAAGGGCTCAGGAAAGCATTATGTCAATGGGATGTCACCAGGAGGATAGCAAACCAGACGTGTGTGTATGTGTGTACCGTGCGCACGCTTACCATCCAGCATACGCGTACATCCCAGAGTAGAAAGCCAGTGGCATACCAGAGAGCTGCACATTACTCAGGTCAAAGGCATTCTCAAAGTGTCTGGTTTCTCCTGCAAGCATGCACACACATCAACTGCTACATTTGCCGTATTGTGCAAGATGTCTTGATGCATTCTCAATCATCCAGGAAAGTAAATTTCCAAAAGTTGATTCTGGTCATCTGGACGTAGCGTTTTGTGGGAGAAATGTGAATTCTTAAATCATTTTAATATCTTTAACAATTGCAATCACAGAAATGATCACAAAGCTCTCTGTATACCTGAGGGCTACTGGAGACACTGGCCTCTCTACATGAACTCCATGGTTGAGTTATTACATTAATTGCAATGATTCACCATCAGCTGTGCAAATGTAGATTTATTTTTTACAATGTTAAAGCTGGAGGTTGCCTTCTGCAGAGGCTTCAGGAGTACAGTGCTTCATTATCTCTGTGCACAAATGACTCAGCCGGGCACACAAAGAAAAATCAGTAATTACATTTGCGTGTCAATGAGTAATTCGTTTTCTGAAGTTAATTAAGAAATTTCTTTGAATTAATAATTTGTTCACATTAGGAAAATGCTGAGTTAAACAGCCCAAAAGTATAATCAAGTTATTAAAAGTATAATTAATTTAAAGGTCAAATTCATGAAGAAGATTTATTTAATTTATTAAATATGCATATATGAGTTGCAATCTGGGCTTACGTTACAGAAATGTGGACAGAGTGAAAAAGATTAAGAGAGATAAACTGAATAAATACAACAGATTGTGTGCAGTCCAGGGCTTGGGAGAACATTATATACATAATATGTACTAACTTTACTGTTTTAAGGAATGAATACAAAGAGCGCTCACTGACACATACAGTATTGCTTCAGAGAAACATTTTAGATTAATAACATTTTAAAGTACAGCAAAGTCTGCAGTTGAGAGGAAGACAGAAACTCCACCTCTAAAATCCTGCTGTGCGGACACCAATAAATGCTCGACCTGTAGCATGCTGTGAGCAGGTGTGTATGACACGCAGGATTCATGTTGAATCACGTGCAGCTGAACACTGTGTGCAACCCAGAACACTCAGAATTTTGGTGGTGTACGTGTGCAGTGCTAGAGAGGTGTCACTGATGATACCTTTAAATAGCTGGTACATGCCTGGCACTATTATGATGGCAATGGCCAGAAGCTTGCTGACAGTGAGGAAGATCTGAATCCTGGCTGTCCACGTTACGCTCATACTGTTCAGGTACATAACAGACGCTGCAGAGAGAGGGAACCATGTCAAGCAGTCATACAGTGTTTGTGACCATATTGAAGGCTCACCATCAACAGAAAAGTCTAAGCTAGTCATATCACATTATTACATTTAGTAAGTGGGATTACATTCTATGAAGTGACTAAAGATCGATGCCTGAATGTTGTTTTCTGTGGCTACTATCAAATGTGCCTTACAACAGCGGTCCCCAACCTTTTTTGCGCCACGGACCGGTTTATGCCCGACAATATTTTCATGGACTGGCCTTTAAGGTGTCGCGGATAAATACAACAAAATAAAACTAGTACCGGTACCAAAAAAAAGAAATTTATTCATAACACACGTGAAAAGTAAACGATAAAAACGATAACAAAATAACGCTGAAAACCGATAAAAACCCTGAAAACTATACATTTCACACCTGAGCCTCAACTCTCGCGGCCCGGTACCAAACGACTCACGGACCGGTACCGGTCCAGGCCCGGGGGTTGGGGACCGCTGCCTTACAAGAAACCAGTTTAGAATTGAAGGAAACATTTTGTAAGCTTTTTGATAACCAGATGCCTTTAGCTACATTTGGGCGTGGGGGGCATTTGTTTTTGTCAAAACATGTTTATATTATATTATATTATGATAATTATATAATATACGAATATATCAAGTGGTGTCTTTTCAGTCTTCCACTTCACTCCAGCTCACCCTGTACTGGGTTACTTGGGCCCCTCAGCCTTGTATCCCACTGACAGGCGTTCAGAAGAGAAAGCAGAGTTGGAGGACCAGGGTCCCTGAGGTAGTTAAATTACTACTGGGTGGCAGAAACTCTGGATTGGATGAGATTCACACTGAGTTCCTCTATGTTTTTGGACTCTCTTGCGTTGAGTGGAGAACTGAGGTGGAGTCTCTGTATTGGCAAACTGTGGTTACAATTACCATCTTTAAGAAATATCCCTTTTCGAGGATATTTAATGTGCGTCAGTATTTTCTTCTAACCATTCTACAAATGTTTTGTACGTTTGGAGAAGGTATCTGACTGCATCCGTCAAGGTATCCTGTGGCAGGTGCTACAGGAGTATGGGGTGCCTGACCCACTGTTCCAAGCCATTGTACAACTACAGCAAGAGCTCGGAACGTCGGAAGGTCGCTTTGTTGGAAATAAGTGGGACTAATTTGCACTGGGTGCTGGACGGCACTAAGGCATTTCTGTGTCACTGATTATGTTCAGAATTTCTATGGACAGAAATTTTAGTTGGAGGCAAATTATGGAAGGCTTCAACTTTGGTGGCCTCATCTCTGCTTTTAGTGGGTAAAGTAGTTCTGCTGGCTTCATCAGAAATAGAGCCAATACCCCTCCGCAATGACAGGAACCAGTTGAGGTGGCTCAACAATCTGCCTAGCACCCTTCCTGACTGGCCTCAAGATAGACCCAGGACATGCTAGAGGCATCACATCTCTCGACTAGACTGACAAAGCCCTGATGTTCCCTCAGATAAATGAGAAGGATCAACTAATTCACTCAGCTTATCCTTTAGTTGGGAAACCATGATGCAATTATTTATTCCATCAATAATTTGTTGTGTTGACAAAACAAATTATACTTTATGTTCAAACATTTATGATATAAACAAAATGTCCTACTTTTGACAGAATTCAAACTCAGTTATTTACAGTGCTGAACGTAGGAAAGTTTGGCTGAATATGAGAAACTGAGCAACTATCAGTGTGTATAATCAGTGGCCCAGTTTAAAATGCTCTGAAATGCTCATTCATGTGAATTTGCTATACTGGAGATTGTATTAGTATGATGTGCCCTATGTTTGTGTTTAGAAGGTTGATAAGCTGAGGATAGTCCTGGGTCTTTTTGTCAAACCCCGCTTCCTTCTAATGCACACTTCTGTCTTCTGCTATTTACCCGAGCTATTTACAACACCCTTCACAACAATTCACTAAGATAACATCTGGGCATATTATAACACTCCTTATTACAGTAGCAAAGGTATATACTTAGGCCAATGGCTGTGGCCAGTTTGACAGCCAGGGGGGGTATACCACATGGCATGAACAGAGGTTCCAGGATGTACTGACCAAAGGCCAGAGAAATGACCGCCATGCCTGCAGGCCTGCAAGATGCAACCAAATATGTCAGTTTTTATATTAACATTAATTTATATAACCTTAGGTAACATTCATACATTCATAAAAGATTATCACTTATGTTTCCAGCCTTGTAGAGTTTTTTAGTCACCTTCAACTACAGCTTTGTTTCATTTTCTGCATCTTCACCTTTGGCAGTCTCATCAAGTCAGTACAGCAAAAAAGACATGGTTCTAGAGCTAGCACTGAAGGTGGTGACCAAAGTCAAAGCTAATACAAAGCAAATACATGACTTCGATTCATTGCAGCTTGACATGAAACAAAGAAATGCAGTAGTGGATATGGGAAAACAAGCATCTGTTAGATGGCAGCATATTTGTTATATTGTTATATTTGTTTTTGTGATATACATTTTTAAAAGCAAGTGAAACACAAAAGTCACAAAAATGAAATCAAAGGATCTCAGTTTGATGTGTTTTTAACCCAGCATAATACAGCTGATGCTGAAAGATCCAACATGACCTCATAGAAAGTTATGAAATATGTGACAAGACTTCTTAGAAAAAAATTACTTGGTGATGGTACATGTGTTAGATCATAAATAAGTTTAAAAAAAAACAACGTTTACTTATACAGCACATTTCACAGACTGTGGTCTATTTAAAAGCTTTCTCAAATAAATACGATCGTGGTGATTTCCAAGCCGGCTTTCACATCCCGCTGTAAGTCCCGCTGTAGCAGGTATAACGATGGGAGTTTGTTTGTAATATCAGATGGGCAACTTCCTAGACATAGCATTTCCATAATCACATCCTCATGTGTGCACAGTAGTGGGCTTGGTTTCAATATGAATGAAACAATACTGGCTAGTCCCAAAGGCTCAGCTTCTGGCTCATCTGTATTTCCCTCTTCATTTCCCACAGCAGTCACTGCAGCCGGGGAAATCGCTCTTTGTCCCCCCCCCCTCATTCTTGTTTTCATTCTCTGCCTCCCTCTCTGTTCATTTCCCATGGTTTCCATTCAGTCCTTGTAGCCTGAGGGTAGCATAAGATTGTGCAGCTCCAAATAGCCAGTAGACTGGTTTGTACTGCTTCACCTTGTCTGTGTACACATCTACTTCCATAGAGCATTTTTTAAACTCTGTGGTACAAAGTAAACTTAGTGTCACATGCAGCCATTCAGCCTTTGCTCCCCACCAAACACAGTCTAAGAGATTATGTATACACCATTTTTTTGTAAAATAGAGACTACACAATATTTGTAACACATTAGGTGACTAGAGGCGTACGAGTTGTTTTCTGCTCCTCCACCAATTACAGCAGTGTTGACTTGTGTGATGGTGATGATGTAAAAGCCTGAGATTGAGAGAAATTATTTTTGTGCTGATGTGGTATAATCTAAACTAGAGCACCCAAATGCAATAATATATATAATATAATAATAGAAATAATACTGCCATTTAAATTCATCTATAGCTTCTTGTCTTTTCTTCTTAAACCTTTTCATCACCTCCATACAACTTGTTGTATTTTGTGTTGAATAAGTCCCAGTAACTGTGCAAACACATACAATTAGACAATTTATATAATCAGATTTATCGTCAACCCGTGGTTACATGTGACACCCCGAGTCTAAACTTTCAATTCAATTCAGTTTTATTTATACTATGTGGTCACTAATGAGCAACAGATCTGTAAATCAAACTGAAAGATAACACTTGTAAAGATGTTATGGCAAAGGTCCCATCAGGTTTGATGAGTAACATCAGCTTCCTTTTTGAATCATGTTAATACTCACTTAAGTCCAACATTTGCTCTTGTTTAGCTTTGTTTTTGGTCTCCACCAACTACTGACCTGTCACTGACTGCATCTGTCTCTCTGTTTGCTACCGAGTTAGCATTGTATTAAGGCTTTACACTGTTACAGAAAATAGCTGCTTACTGCTGGAACCAGTGACTCTTGCCACCACAAGCAACATCCTTATATTATACTTTGTGACAAAAAACAATGATTTGTAGAGCTAAAGATTCAGACTTAATTTGAGGCAAAAAGCATTACCTTATAGCAATGAGATCAGCCCATAATCTTATAAAAGCCATCTGAGGTCCAAACGCTTCCATTATGTATGTGTAATGGCCGCCAGACTTCTTAATGCATGTTCCCAGCTCAGCATAGGACAGGGCTCCTGTAGTGACAGAGGTGACATATTAATCCTAGCTCAGAAACAAGAGGCTAGGTACATACCAGTCCCAGGACTGTTAAACTGTCTCAGAGGTGTACTCTCTCCCCTTTGTGTCCATGATTAGAGCAATGTATTATTGCGCAAGCTGCCTCAGTTCTGTAGCAACATTTTTGAGTGGAAAAAAGCATCACATTTATCCATTTCAGTACAGGCTTGGCAACAGCCATTAGGTGCAGTGGGTCCTGGGTTCCTTCTGGTGCATGACAGTACCTAGCCTCATGCAGGCAATTCCTGGAGAATAAGGGAATTGATACCACTGACGTGACTGACCCATGCTTGCCTGAAATAAAAATCCATAGAACACCTCTGGAAAGTTATGTTTCGGTCCATCTGACACCATCGGGTTGCACCTCCGACTGCAACTCAGACCTCAGATCCTTTCGGGCTGTCTTTGACTTCAGCCTGGTGTAGGTTGATAATTCTCATTTCCATCGAGTGATGTGGCATTCTTTTGTAGAGTTGGATGTCTCGAGACCGGTCTTGGTCTCGAGACCACTTTTACGTGGACTTTTGTCTGGGTCTTGTCTTGGTCTCGACTGACTTTGGTCTCGGTCTTGGTCTCGCTGTTTCGGTCTTGCGTTCTCAAATCGACATAGTGTTCAGGAGATTTGGAGTCAACCATCAGCGGAACGGGGGTGGTGGCTTACAGGGCTTAAGCCCGGGTCATTTTTTCAGAGTGTAATTTGTTAGTTAGATGCCTGCCTGACAACTGTATAAAACAAAAACAACACACGAAGCACAGAGCGTACCGTCGTAAATTCCCCCTAATTTTGGTATGATCCGAGCTCAGGCACTAGTCGACTGAGCACTAGTGATTAGTGATGTTCGATTCGTGAACGAATCGTTCAATACTCGAGAATCACTTTACTGACTCGTGAATCATGATTCACAAGCCCAACTGACTCACTGACTCATCCCTGTTGCTGTTAGCAAACTAATTCCATTAGTAGAAATATATCTAGCTTATAATTAAAATTGTGGGGGGGAAAAACAACAGCCAGTTTCTTAACAAAAGCATTTCTGCTCTGAACTGGAAGAAAAAACCCTGAGTAGAAGCTCACATCAAGAAAATAGCTCCTCGGTTCACAGTAGCATCGCTCTGCTAACATGCTAACAGCACATTTGAGCTACTCACCCCCTCCCTTCCTGTGCTGAATCGTAAGCGTAAGCGAATCACTCAGGACTCACACCCCCTCCCTCCTGCTATGCTGAACGAGTTGAAGGAATCACTGACTCACTCACCCCCTCCCTCCCGATTCGCAGCTTCTTCTTCTTCTTGGTTAGCAACCAATGTTAAGGTACATTAGCGCCCCCTGGTACACAGCTCAGTGGACCCTCGTGCTTCATAAGACACACTCACCCCACCCTCTCGGTTATCAGCTGTTGAAACTCAGAGCGTGTTACCTTGGAAGAGTCGCTCCTTCACCGAAGACAGTGGAGATTATTGTGGACTTCAGGAAGCACACAGCTCCACTCCCCCCCATCATCCTGACTGACACCCCCATCACCTCTGTGGACTCGTTCCGCTTCCTGGGTACCACCATCACCCAGGACCTGAAGTGGGAGCCCACCATCACTTCCGTCATTAAAAAAGCCCAGCAGAGGATGTACTTCCTGAGGCAGCTGAAGAAATTCAACCTGCCAACACGGACGATGATGCAGTTCTACACTGCAATCATCGAGTCCATCCTCACCTCCTCCATCACCGTGTGGTACGCTGGAGCCACTATCAGGGACAAACAGAGACTGCAGCGTGTTGTGCGCTCTGCTGAGAAGGTGATTGGCTGCAGACTCCCATCTCTGCAGGACCTGTACACCTCCAGGACACTGCGGCGTGCAGCTCGGATCTCAGCTGACCCTTCTCACCCTGGACACAGTCTGTTTGACCTGCTCCCCTCAGGCAGGAGGCTCCGGTCCATTCGCACCAGAACCTCTCGCCATAAGAACAGTTTCTTCCCCTCTGCTGTCGGACACACACGTG